TTTTGGATATTACCGACGAAGAGGAACAAACGAGACTAGTCAAGGATTATCACTCTAAGAATCATAACGGTATTCAAGAAACACTAAAAACATTTCAGTTAAAATACTATTGGCCCAACATGAAAATTTTTATAAATGCGTTCATTAATTCATGCGAAACTTGCAATCTGGCTAAGTATGATAGAAACCCTTACAAACCACCATATGAAGGGCCATTTATTGCGAAATATCCTTTTGAAGTCGTTCACATTGACACATTCAAGATCGATGGCAATAAGTTTTTTACTATTTTAGATTTATTTTCTAAGTACGGCCAGGCGTACCATATTACGGATGAGAATTCAATAACTTTGCTTGAAACAATACGTTACTTTATTAGTCATCACGGAATCCCTGTTAAAATTACGTGTGATAACGGAGCTGGATTTACATCCAAAACTTTCAAAGAATTTTGCGAGATACATAAAATCAAGGTTCATTTTACTACTCCCGAAAATCCCTCATCTAATTCTCCCGTTGAGAGATTTCATAGTACTCTTAAAGAAAAATTAATTGCATTAAAACTTCAAAATACAAAAACGGACATAAAGGAGCTCATGTTAACTGCAATTCTAAATTATAATCAAAGTGTACATAGTTCTACAAATTTTTCTCCACACTCCCTTCTTTATGCTCCATTCAACAGAACAAATATAACGAGCATTGAATTGAGCAAGGACATCTACGAACAGTACAATCAAAAACACATTGATGAGCTTAAATTATTATATCAGTCGGTAAGTGATAAATCTAAGGATAAGGCAGAAGAGGTACTTAATAAGAAAAATGAAAATCGCTTCGAACAGCCGGAAATTCCAAAGGAAACTACTGTTTTTGTTAAGTCCAGACAACGAACCACAAAAATTAATCCAAAACAGGTAAAAGCCCGAGTTAAGAATCAAGAAGGCAATACTTTACAATTACAAACTATGGGTAAACAGCCGGTTCTCACCAGAAGGAACTTGCGTCAGATCAAAAGAGTTAAAAAGGTTTTTTCTCCGCAGGACAACTCTATGGTCGCAGAGTCTACAGCTGAGGCTTCATCAAGTTCCAACTAATAATGGTTTCTATTCGGAACCAATAGGTGATGCGAAACTGATAAGACATTATCATACGTTTATTCTCAGTCATAATCTCAGCTTAATAGCTGATGTTATTAATAAGGTAGAAGTTAGTTATAGAGCCTTAATAAACTATTCTGACGATACAAATCTTAAACCGGTACTAGAGGACTTGTATAAAAATATCATTAACGTAAAAGCAGAATATTCAAAATTATCGCCTTACCATTCATATAGTAGGAAACGTCGAGCTATTATTAACGGATTGGGAAGCATTATAAGGTATGTGACGGGTAACTTAGATCAGGACGATCTTACAGAAATCAACGATAAATTTATATCATTAAGAGACAAAGAGAACGAACTCATAGTGGCTATTAACAATCAAAAAGCATTCGCTCAGCTCATTTCACAAAAATTTGAGAGAAACATGAAACTCATTCAAAATAATGTACAATCGCTATCAGAAACTGTCAAGAAAGCAATTTATGAATACGAGTATGAAACTTTAATTTTTAGACTACTTATTTCTCTACGAGAAATCTCTGATTACCTCGGACTGATCCAAAGCACAATATCCCTATCACAGAAACATATGACCAATGTAGCTAATTTTAATGTTAAGGAACTGATTCATATTGAAGAATATCTCAAATCTGTTTATTCTAAGAAAAATTTGGTTCTCTTAGATGAAACTCATCCTTTCGAAGTACTCAGCCTGAGTAGAAGTAGTATTATTTATACAGATGAAATAATTTTATGCGCAGTCGAGTTACCTATCTTGGAATCTACCAAATATAAATTATCAAAGTTATATCCCTTGTTAAACAGTAACACCATGTTAGTACTATTCCAACATGAATATTTTTTGTATAACGATGTATCGATTAAAAGTTGTCCTAAGCAATGTAAAAGATCCATGAATCGATTTATTTGTGAAACTTCGACTAATCAAAAATGTACGCCTCGATCAATTGATCAATGTAGCATTGTACAGGCTAAAAACTTTTTAAGCTTAACATATTTGCTCGAGAGTGATGAGGCAGTATTATTTTCTAGCAACATCAGAATCACTGTTTTCGAAAAATGCGATGTCGAAATCAAGCCTTTTAATCTAATTGGTAATTATATTTTAAGTAGTAACTGCACACTGGTTATAAATGATGTATCATATGTTCTTCATAGCACTGTTATTCCAACAGAGCCCTTGGATTTCAATATTTCTGACTTTACATTAAAGCCAACACACACGATAGATACTTTCCATATTACTAGTAACGATTTTTCTGATATCAAGGAAAATTTAGATAAAATGAAAGAGGTTGCACCAGTTAAGTTTAACAACTATCATTCTCATGTCAATAGTTCTCTTATAATAGGGATAGTCGTTACGATATTAATTATACTTGTATTAAAATCACGTTTGTGTAAAAGGCAAAAATTATCTCAAAAGAAAAATGAAGTTGAGTCTGATAAGAACGAGGACGTTCTAAGAGTTTAAGGAGGGAGGAGTTATGTCCATGCTCACCCTGTACATTATATAAAATTATAATTTACTTAGTAGGCACTTGATTTCTCACGAGCAATGACGCGGCGCTCAAGAATGTTATCTCGCGCCTTGCTAGTTCTCATGTTAACATCGTTTTCTTTATCATATCATATTTCTTGTATACCATGCTAGATTCATATGTTAGGAAATCTCGTCACTTTTGGTTCGACCGTCTTGTTTTACGTACCTACGTGACAAGGTTTCTCTAGAAGTCACTCTGTACCGATTTTGGAAATAAAGTTTTTTTTTAAAAACATCAATCTCGGTATCAGTAATTTAACTTACATATACAGGGCGTCCGCAAAGTTGGGGTTTTCCTTTACACGACGTGTAGATCTTGAAAACATAAGCAATTTTTCTTAGTACCATATATACCAAAGGGAACCGAGGTAAAGGGCTCTGCAACATCAAAAATATCTGAATACCGTCCTGTAGCCGCGACCCGGGACAGATTGGTACAAGGTCTCAACGCGACGGCAGAACTGGTTCGGGGTCAGTGTGTCAGGTCAGTATGCAACCTTCAACCGGTGGTTACGGTCACGCATGTAGAGGTAATCGCGTAGACGAGAATCTCTAGAGACGTGGCTAGAGAAGCGCAAGTATCAAAAGCTAAAGTGTGGCAAACGCTGCGTGAAGAGGGGCTATCCGTTTCACGTCCAACGTGTACAAGCCCTTCAACCTGACGATTTTCCAGCAAGAGTGCGGTTTTGTGAGTGGTTGTTGCATCAACATGATAATAATCCGGACCTTTTGAAGTGCATATTGGTGACAGACGAATCTACGTTCACGCGTAATGGGGTGAATAACTTTCGCAACACTCATGTTTGGTCAGTAGAAAATTCGCACGCAATTACGCAACATTTTGCCTTCCTTGTTAGAAGATGTGCCGTTAAGTGTAAGACAATCAATGTGGTTTCTGCGTCTGCTCGGTAGCGCTTCAGCTGATTTCATTTTCTGTTGGAGCGGTATGATTTCGGGCAGAGACGTACTTAGCCCTTCTCGTCAACTGGAGAGTGAGTACTTTTTCCTTTATTTTTTTTACTTGGTCGCCCTCGTTTCACTACACATTACCTTTGTTATTTCAAGGGTAGTTGTTTCTGAAAAGGAAAACCCCAACTTTGCGGACACCCTGTATATACATATATATATATATATATAATTCATATCGTTCATCTGTTTTACCTTTTTCTACAATGCTATTTATTTTATCCACATACAAAGAACAATAATACATTAGAAACCAATTATTTCATTTTTTTAAATCAATTATATTATTAATAAATTTTTTATCCCTTTTATAATGAATTTGCTTTTCTTTCCAGGTACAAGGAGAAATAAGACATCATATATCAAATATTTCGATTAATATTTCAAATGAACACAGACAATATGGCAATTTATATTTTTTGGAAACTGAACTGGCAAATCCACTTCGGTCTGTTGGTCCACAAAATCGAGCAGAATTAAATCGAGAAATCGTCGACCTCATCTCTAATTACTTGTACAATCACAATCCATTTGCTCAAGCATATAGATTTCTTAAGGATGTCTATCAATAACAACAACAAAGCAATCGTCATCCAACATTGGAATTGTACATCAATAACAACCGTGCTCGGGATATCAATTTCAGACAATATGGCGCGGTACAGGCCAATGAAATAGCAGCCGTATTTATTTCTGAAGATGGGAGACCGCCCCTGGATCGTGCTTACATGTTTATTGTCGAGACAACGACCAGACTATCCACAAATTACCATATCTTAGTGTCAATTGCGATGCAATGACCTATCCTCTATTACATCCAAGAGGTGAAGCAGGATGGCAGTCTAGAACACCACATCAATATAGAAGAGGCTATATATCGTTACTGGAATATTATAGTTTCAGAATAGCTGTTCGACCAAATACCTTCAACCAATTTGTAATGGCAGGCAAGCTAACACAACAGTACATCGTAGATGCATACGTAAAAATCGAACAAAGTCGACTACAATTTATTACTGAAAATCAACCACGTATTAGGCAAGAAATATTTCAAGGATTAATCGACTATTTAGACTCTAGACAATTAGATGTTCATTATCAACCAGGAAATATTTTCATCCTACCGTCGACATTCATAGAAAGTCCACGCGCATTTAGACAAAACTATTTGGATGCCATGTCTATAGTCACAAAATACGGGAAACCAGATATTTTCCTAACATTTACTTGCAATCCTGCATGGCCTGAAATCAGGAAATAACTTAGATGCAAATCAACATTCCTCAAATAGACCTAATTTTGTATCCAGAGTGTTCAAGAGCAAATTAAAGGAATTAATAGAAGATATTGATAAACGACATATTATGGGAGTTTATGTTGCTTACGTTTACGTAATAGAATTTCAGAAAAGAGGACTTCCGCATGCGCATATGTTGATTTGGTTAGAAGAATCAGACAAAATATTGGACCCTGCAGCAATCGACCGTTTAATTTCAGCAGAATTTCCCGACCCTATCGCGCATGCCAACTTGCACGAATTGGTCAAAGTACATATGCTTCATGGACCTTGTACCAGTGCTCGATGCTTAGATGAAGAAGGACATTGCAGCAAACAATTCCCGAAATCTTTGCGTGAAGATACCTTATACAATCCCTCTGGATATCCGTTATATAAAAGACGGCCAATAGAAACACCTATACATATAGGTCGAAGAACGGTAGATAATAGTTGGGTTGTACCATATAACGCTTATCTACTTGAAAAATACGAAGCTCACATTAACGTGGAGGCTTGCTCTTCAATGAAAAGCGTAAAATATTTACTTAAATATATATACAAAGGATTTGATAGAGCTCAAATTGTCGTACGAACCGTGGAAGAAGACGGTCAAACAACAACTATCCAGGAACCTATGTACAACGAAATTCAAATGTTTCTGGACGTTCGCTATGTTAGCGCGCCTGAGGCGATGTGGAGGATTTATACATTCGAAATGCACGATATGTCTCATGCTATTATTAAACTCTTTGTACATCTTCCGAATATGCAACAAGTCTATTTTAATACAAATAGTACCATTCCTGACGTCGTAGAAAGGGCCGCAACACAACACACTACGTTAACAGGATGGTTCGCCTTAAATACCCAAGATGAAGAAGCTAGACAATACACATACGTACAGATAGCTTATAACTATGTGTGGAAAATAACACAAACAAGAATCTGGGTAGAACGTCAACGTCATTTTAATCGTATAATTCCTAGATTATATTTTGTACATCCTAGAGAAGGTGAAAGATTTTATCTTCGTCAACGTCTTTTGCATAAAACAGGATGTAGATCATTCGAAGACATTAGTACTGTACATGGCCGTACGTACGAAACGTTCCGTGACGCTGCTATTGCGATGAACCTTCTCACGGACGATAGTATTTGGTTCACCATGTTGCAAGAAGCTATACACGTACAACTTCCACGAGCTCTTCGTCGTATGTTTTCACAGATGTTGCTGTTTTGTGAAATCGAAAATCCATTAGCATTGTGGGAACAATTTAAATATCATTTATCTGAAGATTATATACGACGCTTAAATGATAACGACCTAGCCTACAACTATGCCTTGGCTTACATCAATCGATACCTAGCACTACAAGGTTAATATTTCTATCAATAATTACTTTTATTAATTCATTTAAAATTGATACTTATGTTTTCAAATACTTTTTTTATTTCACATTTTTTAAGCATATTGAAATCATTTATTTTCGTATTAGAAAATTTTTGAATTTAATCACTTTATATGTAACAGTACTGTGATGTAATATGAATTCAATATCTAATATATTTATCGCTATTAATTTAACACAACATAAGCATTTATGTTCCAATCAATTTCAGATGAATACAAAATTATATACTAAGTGACATATAAATCCGAACACCCAGTTTAAATGGTTTTATTTTAATAAAATTTTGTATAAGTACTTAATGAAGCATAATAAGTAAATGATAAAAATTTCAAAATGATTGCACTGCTTTAAAGCCCTTTGACCTTTAATAATATGTGGATGCACCCTGATGTGCTACGCATTCTCCAACGCGCCTAGGCATGCTTCCGATCAGGTGGTCAATGTCTTCCTGTGGTATCTCATTCCAGGCAACCACCAACTCCTCTCGAAGTGCTTCTAGAGTCTGAGGAGGACGTTGCAAATTGAGCAATCTCCTACCCATCATATCCCACACGTGCTCAATTGGGGATAAGTCGGGAGATCTTGGTGGCCATGGTAACAATGTGACATCATTATGTTGAAAGAAGTCTATTGTGACTCTTGCAACTTGTGGTCGGGCATTATCTTGTTGGAAAGTTGGATTTGCCAGGGTGTCAAGATAGGGTAAAAGATGGGGTTCTAGAACTTCGTGGATATAACGCTGCGCGTTCATGTTACCTCTGATGAAGATTAAAGGTGACCTGGAACCATAAGCTATAGCACCCCAAACCATAACTCCAACAGTGTGATGAACATGTCTTTCAACAAAAAACTGTGGATTCCTCCTTTCACCACGTCGCCATCTAACCCTGGCACGACCATCGTGCATGCCTAAACAAAATCGAGACTCGTCACTAAAGACAATGCTGTTCCATTCCTGATCCCAGAGTGACCGTTGTCTACACCACTCAAGGCGATTACGTCGGTGTTTTCGAGTTAAAGGGAGGACCCAGTGTGGCCGGTATGAAAACAAGCCAAAACTTCTCATTCGTCGGTAAACACTTCGCATGCCAATAGGTCTTCCGTGTTCTGCAAACCATTCATTTGCAATGGACCTGGTAGTGGAGAAACGGTCCCTTAAAGCCAAGTATCTTAGGCGGCGATCTTCACGGTCTGTTGTTCTCGAAGCCATGCCTGACAACACCTAACTACAGTGTCTACACTTCTTTGCACTCTAACTGCAATTGCCCGAAAAGAAAGTCCAGCTTCCCGAAGTCCCACTATACGGCCCCTATCAAACTCACTAAGTTGACGAAATCGTACAGGTCTCCGTACTCTAGGCATCGTAACCGATCGTAAAGGATGTCAAGAACCAAAATCCGCCAACGTTGATTCTTTACTGCGGCTGAAATATTCATTTTTAGAGCCTTAGTGAATTAAAAAAAAGCAGTATAAAAACCAGAATGTCCAACTGATAAGGCTGAAAATTTTTTCACTTGTTATTTACAGTAAGATAAATACATTCACTAACTTTTATTAAAATAAAACCATTTAAACTGGGTGTTCGGATTTATATGTCACTTAGTATATAAAAACTATATTATGATAAGTAATTACTCAATATAATTATAAAATGTTTATATAACTACTTATTACATTTTTATTTTTAGGCAAATCAAACAGAGACTTTCAACTGCTCTTACCCACTGAACCAGTAGAACACCTAATCGAAGATGAATACGATTATGATCAATCAGAAGAACAAGAAATTGCTAATAGGAACATTCCCCTTTTAAACCAAGAGCAACGACGTATTTTTACCGATATACTTTTAGCCGTAAACGAAAATGAAAGAGTTTCACATCGTCTTTTCTTTATTAAGGGAATTGGAGGTGCAGGAAAAACATTTCTATTGAATACACTACTGACTTACCTACTAGGAAATAATCACCGTTACATTGCTATCTGTTATACAGGTATCCCAGCCAGCTTACTGAAAAATGGCCAAACGATTCATCCTGCTTTTATGTTACCGGTTCCATTTCTAGAAAATTCAACGTCAAGGATTCGCAATCAGAGTGCGATTGCTGATAATATTAGATATTCAAAAATTATTGTCATTGATGAAATATCGATGGTACATAAAAGTATATTTAATGAAATAGGTAGGAAGATAAGAGAAATAATGAACAATGACATTCCACTTGGCGGCAAGATTATTATAATTCTAGGCGATTTCAGGCAATGCGCACCTATCGTTCCATTGGCCGGCAAAAATGAAACTATTTCTGCATCAGTGAAATGTTCCCAACTATGGCAACACTTTGTTAAGTACGATCTTCTTACGAACGTTAGAGCACTGCCACAGCAAAACGAGTTCAAAGATTGGCTCATGACCATAGGAAATAATTCCGAAATTTTACGTCACTTAGAAAATGGCAGAGATACTATAGTCAAAGTTCCTAACCATATTATTGTAGAAAATGTTACTGAAAGCATTTACGGTAGCAATTTAATTGAACACGATTTCCGTTAAACATTCATGTGAAGGATATCAATGCAGTTGTTTTAGAAAAACTGCCAGGCAGATCACGACAATATATAGTGTTGATAGTATTATCCGAGAAGACGATACAACTGAAAATGCTGCTGATGATTTAGATTCCGCATGTCCACAAGACTTTTTAAATTCTTTGGATGCTCCAAGACTTCCTCCCCACATTCTTACACTAAAGATTGGTGCAGTTATCATTTTAACGAAGAATTTAGATCTAAAGAGAGGTTTATGTAACGGCACACGCTTATTGATTCATAATTTACACGAAAATTTTATAGAAGCAAAACGAGTAGAAGACCCTAATAATGAACCTTCGATCGAATTAATTTCCAGAGTTGACAACATCGCTCTAAACTCTCTTGATCTACCAGTCAACTTGAAAAGGAGACAATTACCTGTACGTTTGGCTTTTGCAATGACAATTAATAAAAGCCAAGGTCAAACTTTGAGCAGTGTATGAAATCTTTTTCTCATCGATAAGGGTACATCTTTATAACATAGCTTTCTGAAAAATCAGAGAACTACAGGGTGATTCTTAATGGTTGGGGGCAATCAATGTGCCCATTGATAATTTTGTGCTAGAAAAGTAAGGCAAATTCCATGCTGAATCTTTCAAAAGAAGTCATACCTTTCTAATGTGTTATATGAAAAAGACCAGTGTTATCAACAAAGATACCCCTCATATTACGAAATTTGATATTAAAAATATTATATACTCTGTATATTTCCAACTGAATATGTAAAGCATGGAGGTCTTTTCTACATTTTTTGCAGTTATAACTTGGGGACAAGTTAGAACAGCAATTTTTTTATATTACATAACCTTCGCTATGTGCACCAGTATAATTTTTATGTTGAATAACTGTTAATAATGCTTTAATATAACTACTATTAAAATCTATATTGTTCACATATGATGGGTGTTATAATATATATGTAGACATACTTTAACCATCGAATCCTTGGTCAATTTGATAACGAAATTTCCATATGAACATGGATCCGCAACAGCTTTGTTTTCAACCTAAAGCATATTAGCACAAAGAAATATTGATGTTCTAAGAAATTATAAAAGAATGGAACATATTTGGTGTGGTGAATATCACATGATTACAGTTGTTTTCAGATCCTCCATGTACGTAGATACGGATAATGTTATCCAGTGTTTTTTGAAAAAATAGCATGACAATGATTTGATTCAACAGGTTGACTGCCAGGAAAAAAATTAAAAATATCATCTGGTGCCAAGTTGAAAATAATACGCCTGATAGTATTCTGTAAGCATGCTAGTAACTTATTCCTCCCAATTTTTCAAAATGCAATGAAAATTTTGCAAAATGGTTTAGCGGTCTTATACGCCCGCTCGGGCAAATTAAGAATGTGCAAACAACGAACGACTTTTTAAAAAAGCGACTTTATTTAACAGAAGACGAATGAGTACTGGTCACCTTGGTTTACATGCATCTCTTACTTATAACCTACGCTAGAACAAAGGAATTGAAAAGTGCAAACCTAAGCAACTCTACATATTAGATCATCATCATAGCAGTGCCGTAATTCCTCCCTCTTCAAGAAGATTGAACCTCCTGGTTCAAAGGAAAAATCTGGTTAAGTTCAATGTCATTTTTGACTGATTGATTTTTTGGTTCTTTTTGCTTCAAAAGAGAGAGTAATTGTTTTTTTAAACAAAGTATAATTACAACAAATGTTAAAATACATAAAATAGTTACAATGCTAAACGTGGACGTTTTGTGTGAAAAATCTAAATTTTTTAATTTATCGTGTAATAAAACATTATTCAATTGTATATCCGAATAACCTTTTACATCAGTATTTTCAAATAACATATTCTTATCATAGTTCACCATAATGTTAGGTATGTATAAAGGTTTCGAAATATCAGAAATCTTCAAATACTCAGTATGATCAATAAATGTTTTACAGTTTAAGCTGATAATAAAAGAGGAATCAATTTCTTTTCTTTCTTTGGTACAATCTTCATATACTGGAATATTCTTGTTAGTATTCACTAAATAGTTATCATGTTTTAATTGAATTACTTCTGAAAATGAACCTTTTGCCAAGAACGTACAATTTTCAACTTTAAGTAAGTTACAACTGGAATGGATTAGTATAGTACAGTAAAAATATTTATTACTCAATAATTTGCATTCATCACAAAAATGTATAGTTTCATTTTCGATAATATTTTATGTTTCAATACCAGAATATTATTTTGGTGTATAATGGGGTATATATTGGAATATATAAAGTTACCAGTAACTGTTGGTATGTGAAGAACAAATATGATTTCTTCTTCGAGGACTATAATACTTAATTCACATAATTCGAAAAATTCAAAATTGTGCAGTTTATCAAGTGGGAGAAGTTCATTTTTGTCAAATAGATCACTTAATAACGAATGGATATAATTAATTTCAGTCTTACTCAGCTGTAAGAGATTTATGCCCTGATTTGTGCTCAGGTTAATGGTTAACAGTAAGTGTGATAAATAATTAGAAAATCTTTGAATAATTATTATCTCATTCAAGACATACTGAGAATTAGCGTATTCGCTATGCAATTTGTTGAGGTTATCCAAATTATCTCTCAAATTTTTCTTTATAATTAAAGTGTTATTTTCAAACCTGTCTTGTAATTGTTTTGCTACAGAGACGGTTCGGGAATTTTGTAATGATAAATTATCTTGATTTTCCTTCAGAATTTTCATATTTGCCATTATTTCGTCTAGATCAGATTGATCTAAATTGCCTGAAATATATTTTATGACGGAACCAAGACCATTAAATAATCCACGCTTAACTCGTTTAAATTTTAACATTTCATATTTGTCTAAAAGCAAATTGTATTCATGTTCAAGTTGTGTTATCAACGTATCATCTATTCTTTGTTTTGCAAAATAGACATTTGACGTTATTTGCTTGATATTTTCATTAATGAGAGTGAGATTTATATGAAAAAATGTCTTATGGTACGCTTTTAGTAGATAGGCGTTACCTAGCTCTTGCTTAAAATATGGTGCTTTATTCTCGATCAGCTGGATCTCTAGGCCGGCTAGTTGAAGGGCCTGGATTAGGATCCTGAAAGTTAGAAATTTTGCGTTGCGGTTTCACTCTATTCAGTCTATGCTTTTTTCCTTTAGTGCGCAAATTAATATGGACATTTTCTTGTTCGTAAGAGGTCTCTTTAGAATACAGGGGTTTTGTTTTATGTGAACGATCTAATGCAGATTTAAGATATACTGGACCTTCTAAGGTTGGAATTTCCTTATTTCGATTTTGATTAATTTTTTCTAGTCTTTCTGTTGCCTTATCTAGTACACGGTTCGATAGTTCTTCATAAAAAGGTAGTAATTCTCTGTACCGTTTCTCGTTATATTCATCATATAATTTTGTGGGGGTATCGATCAAATGCTTATTCAAATCGTCGTAAGGACCGTATAATAATGAAAATGGGGTATATGTGGTCGTAGAATGGACACTTTGGTTATAAATTAAGATAGCTGTCGTCATTAGATCAATAATCGAATCGATTTTATTTTGCTGACGTAAAATTTTGAGTTTTTCTTTCAAGGTACTATGAAATCTTTCAAGAGGTGATAATGATGAGGGGTTACCTACACTAGTAACATGACATTCAATTTTGTGCATATTACAGAATTCTTTTATAACTTTTGTGTTAAGTTCACCAGGATCAAAAGTTATTTTGTCAGGATAATTGTGATGGGAAAAGAAGTGTCTGATTTTGTTTAATATTTCGTTAGATAATTTTGATTTTAAATTGTAGGCCTGGGCATATTTACTAAATAAATCAACAAATGTTAAAAATATTTGTTGTTCGACTTGAAAAATATCTAGAAATATATGTTCAAATGGTCTTTTGGCTATTAGAGGTCCTTCCATAGGGAGTTCGATTGGTCGTCTTTCGTATTTTGATGTCAAACAAGTATTGCACTGATTAATGTAATTTGATATTATTTTTTTCATATTTGGAGTGAATGCTTTTTTCTTGAAATGGCTGTAAGTTTCATTGATACCATTATGCGTTTGGCTATGATAGAAAGACAATTGTTCTGTAAATGAGTCTTTTAGTAGGTATATAGGCTTATAAGAAGCTTTAACAAATCTTATTCCGCTGTTCGAAAAATACTGTTCTAAAAGTTCGTTAAGTTTAAATTCTAAAAGTTGATTTTCATACCAAATACCATAAGTATGATCGGGCTGAAGATATTCCTTCATGAATTTCAAAAGTTGCTCTGTTTCAGATCCACTTCGGACTGTTACCATTAAAGTTCCATTGCAAGACTTTGTTATTTTGTACTGATTTTTTAACTGAAAATGTATTCGATTTTTGAAAAAATAAAAATTCTTTTCTTGATACAATATATGATTGATAGGATTTTGTGCAGATGAATGTCGAGTAACATCAGATTGCTCAACAATTTTGAGTCGTTCATCTAACGGCATTTCATCTAATAAATCAATTAAAGGTAAATTATCTTCATTCAAGATTTCATCAAGTTCTTGGGTTGTTAATTCTTCTACAGAATCTACTTGTGGTAAAATGGATAAAAGATCGTCATCCTCTAAAGCGTTAATTTCAATTCTACTGAGCGCATCGGCTACAACATTGTCTTTGCCTTTTTATATTTAATTGAAAAATTATATTCTTCTAACTGAAGCTTCCATCTAATCAATCGCTGATTGGGCACTGATAAGGAACTCAACCAAACTAGGGGCTTGTGATCACATTCGATTAGAAAATTTTGACCAAATAAATAAGGACGGAATTTTTTACAAGAATCAACTATTGCCAATAGTTCTTTTTCAATAACGCTGTAATTGCGTTCAGCAGAATTTAATGTTCGAGAGTGGAAAGCAATAGGCTTATCATTTTGACTAAGAACTCCTGATAGGGCTATATTGCTACAATCAGTTGTCAATGTAAATTTTTTGGAAAAATCAGGATAAGCCAGAATAGGTGGGTTACAAAGAGCTTCTTTACAAAGTTTAAATGCATTGATATAATCTGGCTTATTGATATTGATTTTTTCATCTTTACGTAAACATTTTGTGAATGGCTTAGTCAATTGTGCAAATCCTTTAATAAATTTACGATAATAGTTCATAAGGCCTAAAAATGACTGGATTTCTTTAATCGTAGTCGGGAGAGGATATTCTTGAATTACTTTGATTTTATCTGGGTTTGGAAGTATGCCTTGTGGCGTGATGACATGACCTAAGAATGGAACATCTTTTCTCAGGAACTCAGATTTGTCCAGTTGGATTTTTAAATTAAACTGATTCAGTTTTTGGAATATTTTTCTAAGATGCAAAATGTGTTCGTCTAGGGATTTTGAAAAAACAATGATATCATCCATATAGACAAAACAAAAAACGTTGATATATTCTAACAATACAGTATTCATCATACGTTGAAAGGTAGCAGGGGCATTTTTTAACCCAAATGGCATACGGACATATTCATAGTGGCCATTTTCAACAGTAAAAGCCGTTTTTTCTATAGACTCAGGATCCATAGGGATCTGGTGGAACCCTTGTGCCAAATCAATAGTAGAAAAATACATGCTTTTGCCTAAATTTTCCAAAATTTCTTCAATTAGTGGGAGTGGAAATTTATCTTCAATTGTTATTTCATTCAGTTTTCTGAAATCAATAACCATCCTATATTTTTTAACACCGGATACATCCATTTTCTTAGGAACTATCCAGCAGGGTGATTGATAGGGTGAATTGCTTTGTCGAATGATTCCATCATTCAATAACTTGGAAACTTGATTTTGGATTTCCTTTTTGAGATGATAAGGATATCGATAATTTTTTACATAAATTGGGTCTTCATTTTTTAACCTAATTTTGTGTGCAGTGGCATTACAGGGAGTTAATGGTTCGTTAGGCTTGAAAAATACCTGTTTGAATTGCTTGCAGAGCTTAATAATCTTTTCTTTTTCTTCACTATTCATATGAGACGTACGAATTAAATTTTCAACACGTATATTGGATTTTTCAGTGGAAAATGGAGATTCTTTTTCAATTAGAAAATCATCAAGAGGTTCAGATAAAAATGGGTTGGAAACATCAAGAAGATTTATGTCAATTGGATATTGAATAGCATTATTTTCTATGTTACAGATACATTCAGGAAAATATTCGTCAGAATTTTTGAATTTCAAAGGTGGAATAACAACAGAACCATTATCCAAATTTCGGATAATTAATGATTTTTTCGGGTAACTATACTGAACTGGATTGTTTTCTCGAATTGGCTTAAAGGAAGTGTTATAAGTAATTTTACATTTATCAGTAATAATCTGATGTTTAGTCAAATCAATAGAGCAATTAAGCTTTTGTAAATCATAGAATCCTAATAAGCAGTCATAACGTGAATGCCAAGGAAGAATTAAAAATTCAATTTCAGTTTTATTCTTCCATTCAGAAAATATGGGAATTTTACAGGCATATTGACCTCTAAAATTGGACGTACATGAGTTAATTTCAAAAGGATGATCATAAATACGATCTGGAAAATATTTAAAAGCAATTTCTGGATTGATCAGGGAGGATGATGCACCAGTATCGATTAAGATGATAAGATTAAACTGAGAACAAAAAATATACGGAAGGTGGGTTTTTTGATAATTATTTATATCTAAGTCAAATTTTGAGACTGGCTCGTCGAAGGAAAATTTTCTTCGTCATTGTTTTCAAAATAAGATTCATCGGGGATATAGTCTGAATCGAAATCTTGGGTATATTCCTCAGATTCATATTGTGGCGTTCCTGCAAAAGTTTGTTCTTCCTCATTTTCAAGATGAGTAATTTCTTCGACATAATAATGGTTTGGTTTGGGACCTACTTGAAAGGCATTAACTCTAGTGGGCATTTGTTGACGATATGGGTTTTGCTGGGGTTTCGGTGTGCGTGTTGTAGATACAGACATAGGTATAGGATTACTTTTTTGTTGACCTGGAATGGGTTTTTTGGAAAAAACATTCTGTGGTGGTCTGAAAGCTTGAATGTTTGTAGGGTAATGAGGTTTAAAATTTTGTTTAGGTGGTGGTAGTTGCGTGGGACCTGTAGGGAAGGTTTGTTGTGGCTCTAGCCAAGTTTGACTATTTTGGGCTCTAAACTGATTGGGCTTTTGAGAAAAATTAAAATTAGACCTTTGGAAATTTTGATTTGAAGCTTGTACTTTATTCTGAGACTGAGGCTGTTGTCGTTTATATAGGCTCGTTCTTAAGAAATTTTTATAATCAACTTGCATTTGCAAATTATCATAATCACGACAATATTGAACACAAGAATCAATTGTAGTAGGATTTTGCTGTCTTACATAAGACCTATATGGTTCATTCAAACCAGAGATAAAGGAGCTCAAAGACTGTCTATCATAGTCTCTCAATTTAAAAGCGATATGATCGGGATTATCATGGTATTCCAAATTTGCAAATTCTTTCAGGCTCTGTACCTTAAATTTAATTTCTTGATAAAAATCTTCATATTTTTGGTTAGGTTTCTGAACTGACGTATATAAGGCGGTGAGAAGAGTTTCTTCATTTCTAGGATCTTTATATTTGGATAATAATAATGATTTTAAATCTGGCCAGGTTCTCGGACTAGTTAGATGCACTAAATCTCTTACTTCGCTTTTCAGCTGAGAAATAACGTATTGGAAAGCATACGAAACAAAAGGTGTATTAACAAATTCTGCAATAAACTTTTCTGAATTATCCAAAAAATAAATTAGATCTCTGTGACCTCCATGATATTCTGGTACCATATACTTAGCTACATTGAATTTAATTTGTAAATCTTGAAGAGACATGGTTGACTGATTAAAATTAAGACGTGAGGGTGTCAAAATAACTTGTCTAACAGGTGTATTTTCGACTACAGATTCAAATTCAGAATCGGACATTAAATATATGCAATTAAAGTCACTAAATAAGTTTACTTATAGATAACTTTTACGAGTATATATAGATGTAAAGCAATAGAGGGCGAAAAAGTTTCGAGAAATAAATGGAAATATCACTGAGTACAGCAAAAATTGTAAATGTTGTTTCTTACGCTACACTGGGCACTAGCAGCTTCATTTGGAGAGATCTGAGATACCTCCTTGGGCCAATACAGCTCCTCCTGGTTGACAGCTTGCCTGCCGTGGATCCAGCACCTCGCTCCTGTCAGTTCCTGTCGTTTTCTCAAGTGTCGTTGCCTGCTCCCAAAATACTTAGCAAGTATTTCGGCCTGGTACTTCGATGGTGATGTGCCTGCTCGGTGTAGCCTTCGAAGTTCTTTGTGATCGACGTCAAAACGATTGAAATCGTACCCGAACACACCGGACGATTTTTTGCACTTTTTCGGTCTCGATTGAGCGATACTCGTGAATCAATACCGCCGATTATCGATTCGGTACGCCGATATCCTGTTCGCAGCGCCAATTAAGAATGTGCAAACAACGAACGACTTTTTAAAAAAGCGACTTTATTTAACAGAAGACGAATGAGTACTGGTCACCTTGGTTTACATGCATCTCTTACTTATAACCTACGCTAGAACAAAGGAATTGAAAAGTGCAAACCTAAGCAACTCTACATATTAGATCATCATCATAGCAGTGCCGTAATTGGCATGGACGGCATATATATGCCCTCCATGCCCGAGCGGTCGTATGAGCGGTCGTTTCTTGCGAGTTTGAACTCGTCTCTACGTTATGTTACAGTCGGGATTAGCAAGCGCGCACAGTCATTTAGGGTTAGGATGCATAGAACGCTGAACGCAACAAGCAGCATAGTGAGTGCATTAGTTTTCAAACTCTAAAAATGAGTAGCCGATCTAAAAAAATTGTAGAATTGGCCCTTCAGATGGAGGAGCATACAGGTAAGATTTTATATGAATATAGAATTACATTCTACGCAATATTGTTGCAAATTTAGTGGTTTTTGCTAGTAAATCGTAGTAAGTTCAGTTCATTTATTTACAGATGATGAAAGCGATTCGGATCCTTTCAGTGCAGTTGATTCCGATTTGGATCCTATGTTTCTGCCATCTAGTAATGACGAACTATCTGATAGCTCTGACATATCTCTTACGGAAATAATAGGACAGAAAAAGAAATTTACAAAAACGACAGGGGAAAGACCAGAACAAGTATACAATTTTGAGAATCAACCGTGCTGTTCAAAATCACTTCCAGTGGCCGAATTTCAAGAAGCTGGGGTACAAAATGAAGACGGGACACAGAATCTCAATGTTTCATCGACTGAAACTGGAGACAATCTTGAAAACGTGTTAGATGAGGAAGAAGCTGCTGACCAGAATGAACACACTTGGAGAGAGCCTGTGGGCAATCACCAAGTGTTTGATTATTCTGCCGAAAGCGGTTTACACGCAGGTTATGCTGCAGTTCTTATCAACAATTTATCTCCATACAGCTGCTTTCGTTATTTTGTCGATGATGAAATCATAAATGAAATGGTAAATCAGACCAATCTATATGCAACCCAAGTTTTGTTCGAAGCTGAGGATGTGAGTAGAGAATCAAGGTTACATCGTTGGGTTCCAACCGATAAAGGTGAGATGCTAAAATTTATTGGCATTGTAGCATACATGGGCATGGTTAGGATGCCATCATTAGAAAAGTATTGGAGTACTGACGAACTTTTCCAGATATCTATTATTCCAAAAGTTATGTCAAGAAATAGATTCCAGCTGCTCTTACGAATGTGGCACTTCTCTGATAATAACGACTGTCCAGTGGGTGATCGTTTGCATAAAATCAAACCTTTATTGGATGCGTTGGTGAAGAAATTTCAAGAAATTTATACACCTGGTAGAACATTTTGCATTGACGAGTCTGTTGTTCCTTTTCAAGGCCGTCTCCTATTCAAACAATACATTCCAAACAAGACGCATAAATATGGCGTGAAATTGTTCAAACTGTGTAGCGATAATGGATACACATGGAATATAAGAATATATGCTGGCAAAGAAAAACAAGAGAGAGATGCGTCTGTGGGAACAAATATTGTGCTTAAGTTGTCACAAGACTTACTTGATACAGGTAGAACTATTGTTGCCGATAATTACTACACCAGTCTCGAGCTAGTGAATATACTTCTTGACCATAAGACACATTATATTGGTACACTAAGAGCAAATCGGCGAGGCAATCCAAAAGAAGTTATTCTGAAAAAACTAAAGAAAGGCGAAATTTTTGGGCTAGAAAATGGCAGAGGTGTGTGTGTGCTGAAGTGGAAGGACAAGAGAGATGTCCTTCTTCTATCCACTAAGCATACCACCGAAACCGTAGATGTTCAACGACGTACTGGTATTGTCAAAAAGCCACGAGCAGTGATGGAATACAATGAAGCCAAGTCGTCGATTGACCAATCTGACCAGATGGCAAGCTACCATTCACCTGTAAGGAAGTCTCTAAAGTGGTATCGAAAACTTGCCATTGAGTTCCTCTTGGGCACAGCGCTTGTAAATGCACACATAGTTTATAATCTGCTAGCAAACAAAAAATTGAAGATTCCAGAATTTAGAGAAGAAGTAATTAGGTCTCTTTTTACGGATCACGGCGATGCAGGGGAACTTGATGTACGTCAGGAAAAAATAACCAAGAAGACAGCCAAAATCCATACATTGTGCAGGAAAGAAGGTCAATTTGACAAAGTGAGAAAGTACTGTAAAGGGTGTTATGCCAAGAAATTGCGAGGAGAAATAACTAAAAACTGCGTGAAGAAAGTTGTAACTTTCTGTGGAGTGTGTGACGATCAGCCACATTTTTGTCTGAACTGTTTCAATACCACTCATGCAAAGTAAAATGAACCGTTATTTTGTTTATACAAGTGAATCTAAGCTTTTTTGCCCTATGTCTGTTACATTTTGTAGTGTGATTTGAGTTTGAACAATAAAAATGCATATGACAAATCTGGGTAACTTTTTTCATCAAATCAAACAGATATACATGAATTCGGATCAATACCCTAGGCCCGTATGCCATAGCGGTCGAATTGCTCGCTTATACTGATTCTGAGTTCGACCGCTGGCACGCAGAGAATATAAACGTAGCACCGTACGATAGCGGTCGTATACGACCGCCGTGGCAGAATAGGATACATATTGAGCGGTCGTCCGCGCCCGCCGTGGCAGTCAACCTGTTAATCCCAATACTTTTCATATAATGACATTTGGGAATTAACTTTCAGAAACATAATTTTTCTTTTCATTATGTTGTATTTTCTAGGTTAGAAAAAACCTATGACATTGACTTAACATCACAAAACAAAAAACATTTACACTGAAAAAGGAACAGTCCCGTGCTGTCCATAGGCGAACACGATTGATTTATGGCTAGAGATGATCGATATATCGGTACCGGCGACCTTTCCCGGTGACTTCAATGGTCGCCGTTAGTCCCGGCGACCTGATTCTCCATGAAGCAGCGACCCAGATCGCTGTTTGGAAGTATCGGTAACTACTGATCGGTAGCTGTAACGCTGTTTCGGTCGCGGTCGCTGCCAGGAAGCATATACACATCACGTTCGCGATCATCGCGCGGGAAGTACAGGGTCGCTACGGCGTAGCCTAACCTATTTTGTTAGTTTTTATTGTTATTGTTGTGAGTTCCTGTTTCATAGAAAAATGTTTCGTTTATTAAGCAATGTTTAACATATAAAAGAAGCATTTTTATACTACATTTGTTATGTTTTAAAAGTTTTATTTTGACTGGTAAAACAGTATTTTGTTTTCCTTTTTAAGATTCATAGAAAGATATTTTATGTATTTTTATGATTTTATGTGTTTTGTGCTCAATATTGTTAAAAACAAAAACCTTAAATATAGTTTAATTCAAATCTTCAGGAACCTGAACATCTACACCTCGTTAATATCAATGGATAACAGCCGCCAAATATCGAGTAATGTAATCAGCGCCAGGGAGTCGCTGGCTGCTGGCAGCGACCATAGATAAGCAGTGACCTAAAGCGCTGCTAAATCTACCGGCGACTTTAAGGTCGCTGTCACCGATATCCCGGCGACTTCCAAGTCGCTGCTAATATCATCTCTATTTATGGCAGTCAAGCGCTATTTTTTTTGGCACGTCACGTGATTGCCAGATATATAAGCAACGTTAAATCTGAGCTTATTATACAATTTTATAGAGGACATTAATACTGTATGCAAGATTTTATAACGCCATCTGTGTTATTAACGACAGATGCGACGTTGCCGGCTCCGCACATAAATCTGAGTATGTTATAAAATTTTATAGATGGTATTTTTAATGCTATATGGAAGATTTTATAACGCCATGTTAACTGACAACTCACAACAGATAATGTCAGATGTCAGATACCAGGTACCAGATAACAGATAACAGATCAAAGGTGATAAAGGATAGATAATGATTAGAGATAGGGATAAAGTATATCATTAACATTGCATTAGCATACCAGCAACTGCGCTACGTGAGGTTTTAAATAAAGACATCAACATACAACATTTTGCATAGCGTTAGCATGCCAGCAACCGCGCTAGTCGACTATATTAAGCGGTGGTCGATTGTTTTTCGTAGAAGGCCACGTGACGCTAGAGATTCAGGCCGTGCGACGTCGACGCGGTTTTTCCGGTTTTTTTCCCGGTTCGCGAAACGTTCGCAAGGAAAGAGGTACCTTTTCGGAAAGTAGAAACTCGACGCTTTACCGGGGAGCGGGAACCGTCGCGGTGAGAGGAACGGATCGGATCGAAAACGGCCGGTAAAGTCGAAAAATCGACCGTTTGTCGGGCGGTACGCGGCGTTATTTCACACTCGTTTCGCCGTTTATCGAAATATCGACTCGAGATCGGTCTCGTTCGATAGCTAAACGAGAAATACGTGCCTATCAGCTGAATCCGTTCGGTTCCGCGTCTCGGTTTTTTTTCTAGGAATGTTCGAAAAAAAAGCGACAAAAATGACGAATCGCCCGGAAAACTACGATATCTCCCTTATGCCGAAGAGAAAAGGAATTTCGCGCGCCGCGTTTCGTACATCTCGGCGAGCGCTACAAATTACGCGGAGAGACGTTTTTTCGTTTACGGTACCCGTTTCGAATAAACGAACCTCGAACGTCGTCAAGAATGACTTTTTGCGTATAAAGCACGCTGCTTCGCCGTCGATCAGACATCTCCTCCGAAGATAAAGGAGCTACGAACCTGACGATTTTTGCGTGAGAAAGCCCGGACATCGGACACAAAGATAGCGTCTTTGTTTTTCCTTTATCCCTTGTCGTTCGAAAGTTTCGATTTTTCAAAAATTGCCCGACAACACGCTACATTTCGATGCGTGTAAAAGTTATTTTGTCATCCGGCTCTGTCTTCGCCTATTACTACCGTACGTGAGCGAGTAAAAATTATACAGCTATCGAAAAATAACGATAATGAGCTGACGAAACGATTCTGACCGTCAGAATTACCGTCAAATTTCGAAAAAGTAAACTTTGAGCGCCTCAAAAGTACCGATGACAACCGTTTTTCGGCGTACTTTGTCTTCGTCGATACGGACCTGCGTTACGGAGCGACATGGCTACGATTTTTTTTCGCAAAACGAAAGACCAAAGTCTCCTGATTAAACCGACATACGACACGTTACCCGATCGCATTTTTTAAACACGGCTGATTACAAAATTCAAAGATATGTACACATTTTTAGTTTGACGTTTCAATTTTGAATTTCCGCTCCAGATCCCCGGATTCCTGTTAGGCGGGGTATTGTAGATACGATCGTATTACGAAAGTGAGCGCGTGCGAGCGGAACGTCCGAAACGTGGTATTTTCGGCTTTATGTCGGTCGCTTCATCGAATATAGGATCACGCCGAATACCATTGTCCTTTTTTACGCGTGAAAATCAACATTTTCGAAAAGATTCAAAATTTCTATATTCCATTGTCTAAACGGACCGGACTATAGCCATTAAAATCGTATGAATCTAGTAGTTTTTTATGTTTACAGATTGCGATGTTTACCGCCAGAGGCTGCAATTATTCTTTGACGTTTATCAGTTTATTGAAATCATCATCGGTTTATAAATACGATAAAAATATGATTGTAAGCCCCTATTCATGTTATAATTTTACAATATGTCATAAAGCTCCGCTTTTCCAACCGATTGATATAAAGCATATGTCTGATTGCATCACCTCCTATTTCTAACCTACAAAGTATGAATGTAAACATTATCGAAATCTTAATAATGAGGCTCCCGTTAATAAGGATTAATTAGAAGCTTAGAACAAGCAATCACAACTACACATAGTGAAAGTGTTGTGAAGTGTTTACAGTGTATGTATTTCTATGGCAAACGTAAGTAGTCTCAATCACGTTTCATTTGAATTTATTACTTGTTGATTAATGCAATTAAAACTTGAGCGATGCTCTCTGTTGTCTAAACAATCATTCAGAATAATATGTAACCATTCAAATTTCTGTACAAGTGATGAAAATTGTTGATTACTTTCATGTTTTGAATGCAAATGGAATCATAGCTCACTTTTACATAGGCATTTGTGTTAGGTGTGAGATTATGTCAGTGCACTATTTCAAGTTTGTGACTACTTCTATGAAGTTCAGTAAGAGTTCAGTCTTGACCCTCAGTTCAATTTATCTAAATATGTAGACCTATTAGCTGGCTAACAGTGCTACATTATTATAGAATTCTCTATTACATAGGAGGATCTATCCCTTCGATTGGCACATATTATCAAGAAGATGAAGGAATATGCAAAGCGCTAAAAAATAGCATTGATAATCATATCTACTACCAAAGTTTTCAAATTACTAAGACTTTCACAGCCACTGCAGTTGTTTATTTTGATCTCAATGCAGAATGTATGTACTTCGATTTAGAATGTAGCTGCTTTAAGGACTTGTCAAAACAACAGACACCATTACTTGTCAAAATTTGTAAGATAAATACTCTTGCACAGTATAATCGTAACTTGGTATAGACATGTTTGTGATATCGCTTAGATTAAGCCTGCCAGGGGAGTGAAAGTTACCTATACGAAACGCAAATACAAGATTGCTTTCTCAATTTTTTTTCAATTCAACCTCATAGAAGTACATATTTGTTGAATAGCTTTGAAAAGATCGAGGGACTACCCTGTTATAGCTGGAGTACTGAACTCTACATTAAAATAATTTATGATGCCATGTGTTGTATCTAAAAAAAGCTAATGACAAAAATTATAATCAACAGTATGCTCCTTACTGGGAAACTATTTTTATTTCTGCAGATCACATAATTATTACATACATCCCTTAAAAGGGCCCAATTTGAAGTAACATATTATAGAGTTCAATTTTCACATTGTTGAGATATTAAAAGGTTTATCAATGGTCTTTTTACGGGTTCTTCTCTCTGGCGATGGAAAGTTCAATTGCTTCTCACCTAAACAATGTAGGTCAATTTTGTTTTTTCCTATCCACAAAATGACAACTACATAAGTATGCACCAGTACCTGGTTCAACTGTTCTCCTGCAATAAATAGTAACAATAAGACAAAAGTTCAATTTGAATAGCAATGATATCTAAATACAGCATTTTTTATAAGCAACATACCCACACATTATCGCTCAGTTACATACCTGCTTGTAAACTAACGGCCTTATTTTCTACAAAAATTGTTTTTAAACTCCACTTTAACCACATGATACGGAAGAAGTTTTCTCAAGGTGTTTATGTTTACTTTTTTGATAGTTTTACGGATTTCCTTACTATGATATTTAGGAATTAACTTTCAGAATCTTAATTTATTCTTTTCATTATGTTGTAGATGCACATCAT